GGAATATATATTATTATTATTAACAGTGGATAGGATAGGTAGGTTGTTTTTGAAGTTCACTGTTATTTTACTCTTTTACTCTTAAATTAAGGTTTACAACCACCTATAAAGTTATCTTCGCATTTTCATTTTATCATTTTTTATTACTTATTAAAATAAAAGAAATGTTGGACGAGACATGTTTCGAAATTCAGAGTATCCCTGTCTAGGTTCAGCCCCCTAACACGATACACGTGTTCATTTATATAGAGATAAAAGGTTAGTAAAACTCCACGAAAGAAGAAAAAACGTCACTTGCTATAAAATACGCCCTTATTTAAGTTGCGGAATAAAGGGGTGAATAACCAAATTCAAAGTTTGCAGATTCTATCAAACTTAAGTGTTGTTCCATTTGTAGTAGTAGTATTGTTTGGCCGGACTCCAGTTTTGATTCGTTGTTGTTTGAGCAAAAGCTTGGACTCAAGTGGATCTGGTACTTTGCCTGATGATTTCTGTTTATTTCAAGTCATGCATGACGCTGAATTTCCTTTGACGATTTTGATTGTATGAGTTGAACTTTATTTTTGTTACCTTTTTATGGGTTTGTTTCTGTTGATCCTTTTCTCTATTCTTGCCTGTTGAAACCAAATACATACTCTTGTGAATATGGTTAGATGTCCATAGCTTTATTTTACTTGCAAGATTTTAGCGTCATTCCTGCAAAAGCATTACTCTATATTTATTTTCTCTATTGTTTTAGGGAGAGAGAGGAAGGGGAAGGGGAGTGTATTTGAACTTTATGAATTATTGAAATCAGAATTAGAACTTTCTGACCCTTCTTAGGAATCAAGAGAGGCTTTTAGGGCCGATCAAGAGACTACACATCGGTGTATATTTTGATAAATTTCAAAAAGTTAATTAATTCGTGAAATTATTTTAAATTTAGATTTAAATTTAAATTTAAAATAATTATTTTATTAATTAGTAATATTAAAATTTAAAATTAATTGATCTTAATTATCGTGATTAATTATAACTATGAAAGACCATTTCTTCTTCTTATATAAATATTGAGTTTCAATAGATTTTATAAATAGAGATTCAATACTACTCTACTCTCATTTTTGGATTAAGAACTTATTAGTTTGCAGATAAATCTTTTAGTATAATGCATTGTACGTCTCAGAAAAATTCAGATTCGTCCTTATGTTTTCGGTATCCATGGACAACACAAATAAAGATGTTAATAAGATAATGAAATTTCTTCAGGACAGATACTTGTTTTTGCATAGCCATTGAACTGTTTTAAATTATTTTATGTTATTACTGAGAAGCCAGAAGAATGACCTTTTGTCGGTGACTTTGAATTTCAAGTCACGATTTCCTTCAAACCTGAATGATTTTGTTGTTATCTACTTGTCTGTCTCTAACATTATAGCTGCTTAATGTTCATGTTTAGGTGCTATGATGACTAACACAGAATAGAGAGGCTGCTGGGAGAAGTTGACTGCGGAATAATATTTTTCCAATACATAGGCTTCTGTTCTATAATTAGAATCAACCTGTTTGAATCTCATGCAAGCTGAAGATGCTCTTTCACAATAATTGAAATTTGAGGCACTAGAAGGTTTTGTAAACCAGGTAATATAACACAAGATATTGAATTCAGGATTTCTTATTCCAATTCATAATACATCAGAACTGCATGCTTATTTCGTACTTCACTTTCACAGAAATGAAAACTCACATATCAATAAAAATATCAATAAAAACATCAAGAGATTCATGGGAAGGAAAACTGGCAAATAAGAAGTTGATAATGGCTAGATTGTTGGACATCCAATTTAATCAACCAGAAGTTACTACAATCCAACATTTGGGATTCTAGAAAAGAAAACGTCTTCAATCCAATACATATCACGTGCCTTGATCAAGTTTTGGGTTCATTTTTTAAGCTTCTTCAACCTCTTAACTGCTTCCCTAAGGGTTTCCTCATCCTTGCAGAAAACAAATCTGACAAGATTCTTTCCCTCTTTTGGATTCAAGAAAAACAAACTGCAAGGGATTGCCAGCACCCCCACCTCCTTAAGTAGATATTCACAAAATGCAACATCATTTTCTATTCCAAAATATGTGTGATCTGCCAACACCATGAATTGGGTGGGAATACCTTGAAGCCAGCAGCCTTTAATCCTTCCACCAAAATATCCCTCTTTGCCATATAATCCCTCCTCAACTTTACATAGTAAGAGTCTGGTGCACTAAGAGCTACTGCAGCTGCACACTGCAAAGGATTGGGGCTCGAGAAAATGAGATAATTATGTGCCTGTCGTAGTCCCCATGTCAAGTGCGGGGGTGCTATGGCCCAACCAATCTTCCATCCTGTTAAGGAGAATGTCTTTCCCAAGGTGTTCATTGTCACTGTCCTTTCAAACATTCCAGGCAAAGAAGCCATCGAAATGTGCTCCATATCATATGCCAACTTGCCATAAACTTCATCAGCGAAAACCAGAACATCATTCTCAATGCAAAGTGATGCAATAGAATTGAGCTCCTCTAGAGTGAACATCTTTCCAGTAGGGTTGTGAGGAGTATTTACAAGTATGGCGCGGGTATTCCTCGACACAATGGACTTCAATTCTTCAATTGGGACAACAAAATTTGGAGGATGCAAAGTGATGCTTATTATTTTTGCACCAGCCATAGTTAAATTGGCTGCATAACCACCAAATGAAGGAGAAAACATGATAACTTCATCACCAGGATTTATTAGTCCTAACGAAGTCGCAGCAATTGCTTCTAAGCACCCATTTGTGACTGTAATTTCCTTATCAGGGTCTACCACTAATCCAGTATCTTTCTTAAATCTTTCAGCAATAGTAATGTTTAGATCTGGAACTCCATAACCTCGTGCATACTGATTTTTTCCATCCCTGATTGCCTGAATTGCTGCTTCCTTTATAAACTCTGGACCATCGAAGTTGGGAAAGCCTCGTCCAAGGTCAATGGTTCCATCTTTCAAGTTGCTTGCACCTCCTCTATCCTTTTGGAACTTCTCTAAGCGCTTCGCAACCTGACAAACAAATAACAATCAGCAAGAAATAAAAAGGCTACTGGTCATTTTTATGCTGTGTTTGATTTCACCAAATTCTCTTGCTTACAGCAAATATAAACACCCTTGCCATGATAACAAGCAATTCAATAGGAAATATGAACATAATTAAACGAAAATGAATATAACAAGGTTCATTTTTAGTGTGTGAAAGTTCGTATAATGTGACCCATGTGCTTGGTTGTGAGATGAAAGTGCAGTGAAAGGAGAAAAAAAGAGAAGTAGGTGAGAAATATATTGAAAATGGAGTTGTATAGTAGGAGAGAAGTAGAAGAAAAATTAGTTTTTATTGATTAATGTTGAATTAAATAAAACGGTTAAATTGTTTATAAAAATGTTTGTTAAAATTTGGTTATTACTTTGAAATTAATCTGTATATTAATAGATTATTTGATCATGCGGACAATTATGAAACATCACATGTCATATAAGTATGAGTGACAATGAACTGAAACAATTCCAAAATAATTCAAAATTAGATATGATAATTAACTTATTAAATTTTATTCATGAATTAAATGAGATGAACTTGAATTAAAGATTTAGCATGATAAATAAATGAGTCAAAACTTGAGTTACATATAATTCAATGCATTTAGTTCATAAATCAACTTGGTATATAAGTATAGAATTAACTTTATATTTAACTTTAACTTATTAAAATTTAAGAGAACTTTCAAAACTTAGTTATAAGTTAAGAATAATTAAAGAAGTGAATACTTTAGAATTTCTTGATTATGGATTATTTTTTTTATATTATTTTATGCAAGATTGAGTAGGTTTTATTTATACACCTTAGTTGTAATTATTTCTTTAGAATCATAGTTTGTAACATTGCAAAGCTAATAGAATAAGTTGTGTTTTGTCTTAAAAAAAAGTAAAAAAAATTTTTTATTTAAAATCTATTATTAAATTAAGCTTTTGAAATTATAAGATTAAAAAAATTAACTCTCATATGATTTAAGCTACCGAGTTAAACCGAATTACTAGCGAATTTCAACCAAATCGAGTTTAAGCTAAAAAAAGGTTTATATTGAACTTAAGTTGAGTTGTGAGTTAAGTCAAATATTATTAAGTTGAACTAAATGGAATTTAACTCAATTTGACTCATCTGTAACCCTACATATAAGGGCATCACAAAGAGGTTATTAGCATTGAAATTTGGATTTTGTTACGTAATCGATTACCTAGTTACAAGCTTCATTATATAATCAAGTGTCAATAAAATGACGAAACAATATGGTAAAAAAAATTTCTCTTCTCCACAAGTCTTCTCTATTTAGTGAGTATAAAAAATAATGAGACCTTCCTTTTTATTGCTTTGGCTTCCCTCATTTTCAACTAATCCAAACACAAATTCAAAACAATCTTCTTGTCACCTCCCAACCCTTTCACTAGCTTACTTCATCCCTCCCCTTATATCAACTACAACAAATGAAGACTAAGGATATACTCTAGATAAATTTTTCAATAAGACCATTCATAAGAAAAAAATATAAAAATAAAATAAATCAAGCTTTTCTCAAAAGTTAAATAAAATCGTAATTTCACTAAGAGTGAGATAAAAAAAAAAACAAAACTTAATACATGCATACATTAATTTTAACTAAACCTCTACAGTCTACCAAGTGATATGGAGTTGGTTAGCACTTCTACATTAAACTATACTATGTTGTTGTTACTGTAATTTCTATAGATAATTTTTTTTAAAATTTAAATCCATTTTACATAGCTTCTTTTTCTTAGAAGATAGAAGTGTTTTTTTTTTTTTTTTTTTTTATCTACCTTGACACTAAGGGTCTATTTGAAATTTTGGTTGATTGAAAGGATGAGAGATAACTTTTTTTATTTTATTTTATAGTTTATGAGCGGATGGAAGGGATTCAAAAAATAATTTACTTTTATATCCTTATAATTTTAAATTTAATAATATAATTAAGAATATTTTATATATTATATTAAAAACATTTTAAAATCTCTTATGTCTTTCCAAATCTCCCCACTATTAGAGGGAGCTAAAATTGAGTTAGAAGGGATTTTGCTTCCCTCCCCTCCCAAAAATTATCTCCTCCAAAAACTTAAAACAAATAAGAATTTTTTTTTAAAAATCCTTTCCATCTTCTCCTTTTGTTGTACTCCAACTAAATACCATGTAAAGGAATTAGTGTAAATTTTTTAATTTGAATACTATATTTTTTTTTTCAAGTATCTCTGATCGAGGCCGTACCCGGTCAAATAAAAAACAATTAATGTAGTACTAGGAAGTGACTCCTAGGTCGTCTCCCAAGGACCAATTGTCTCAGTCAAAGGTTCAAACACACAGTGGGGGGGGTTGGTTCAGATTATCGAGTTAAATAAAACGAGCAGAAGTATGGATTACTTGCAGTAATTAAAATAGGTCAGACCCCTGAACATAATGCACCTCTGATTTCCTTGGTTCACAACAAATAATCTGTCCAAACATAATCCTGTTCAGTCCATGATTAATCAACTAAGCGAAAACTAACATGAGACTTCACTACACGAATTAAGCAAACGTGAACCTTGCAAGACCTCCTTCCCCAGGATTAAGCAACCTGAGATACTGAACGTGAACAACCCAGAGTCATTAAGCATGGCTCAGATGTTGAACGCCTCAGAACAGAGATCCCACAAGGGAGGATCAAGCGGAGCAGAAATGCAACGCACAGAGAACCTCTTTCAGAGGATTGCATTCTGTCCAAGGGCCCAAACCCTGGGATTTAGCCCTCCATTAAAATAGCAACAGAAACGAAAATACAAGAAAACATGAAAGTGGCAACAGCAATGCAAGCAAAACGTAACAGAGAAGAGGAAGAAGAAAACGAAAATGGAAGCAGGAACAAAATACAAAACGTGAATAATAATAGCAAAACGTGAATGTTCAGATACAAGAGGAAGATCAACCAGAAAACAACCAGAAACCGTGAAGAACAAAGAGCCACCAGCATAAAACGAAAAAAAACAAAGTTCCAAGAGAGACAACAACGTGGTCACATCAAGTCTGCATGTGGGTAGCTGCTCCTCTCCCTAGAAAAACCCTAATAGAGTGTAAAAATGGGCCCCCACTGGTCTGACCCGAAAATACAATAAAAATAAACGAAAAAGAAAATAAAATGCTGATATGGCATAAGTGGTGCAATGGTGACATGGCATGTGATGTGGCAGATCTTCTTGAAGTCCAAAAATTTATTCCAAGCCCAAATAATTATTAAATTGCCCTGAAAATAAAAATTGGGATAATAAGATCCAGAAAATTCAATTTAGTTAAAATATGAATTACCGGTCCAATTAAAGCCCAAATAGAAAACAGTGCAGAATATAAACAATTAAGCACAAATCAGAGATTAAGATAAGCACAGAAAGGTAAGAAAATAAGGGAAAATAATGACTCATCAATCTCATTATTGTTTTTTTGTCTTTTTTTTTCTTTATCACGTCATATTACTCAAAGTACCTATATTTCTCTCTCTTTTTTAATCTCTTTCAAAAAAAAAAAAAAGGATGTCCAGAGAATAAAAAAATGAAGAAATTAATGAAATCTAAAGGGTTTATCCGCAGGCAACGCATATATGGATGAGGAACAGAGAAAGTGGTAGGTGTATCCACGAAATCTAATCGTGAATAAATGAAAAAGAATTTGACAGGCTCACATATATTGGAAAGCATGTGCAAAAGCTAGCATTGATAAATAGATGATGAAAGTGAAGTTTTAGAGATAAAGAGGATGCACCTGCATAGGATGATGCCTTTTCTGAACGGTGGTGGTTTCATTTTCAGTGGAAACTCTGGACATTGGTATGGTTTAGGGAATTTCCGAATTAGACTGTAGCTCCGATTGCTTTTTGGGTCGATTCAAGAGTTGGAGTTAGGACATCCAATTAAAACAAACAAAATTACAAAAACAGTATCAAAAAAATTATTAAATGTGCTACACGTGATCAACTTTTCTAGTTGAATTTCAATTTGTACTATTTTTTTTCTTCACAATTTCGAATAAGAGTAAGAAAGACAATTTTTTTCTCACCTAATCTGTATAATAAGACACAGTTTAAAAGAAAATATAATATTTTTTATGTGGTATTTTACAATTTCTTTAAAGTATTAATTTTTTTTAATCTTTTACTCTTATTAAATATTGTGAGAATATCTTGAGAATCAAATGTTGTCTTCCACTTCCTAAACTTTTCGATTATTATTTATCAATTTTATTTACATTGGTGTATAATTTTTTTCCCTTTTGATTCGGTGTATAAACTTTCACATTAAGTAATATCTCAATCTCTCTCTTAAAAATTTAATAATAAATTAAGAATATAAAATTGATACATCATAATTTATTTATAATTTAAAAAAATTAACTAACATAATTATTTATATTAATATGTGTAATCAATTATAATGTCTTATAATGAAAATTAGAGGGAATGTAAAGTAAAACATTTGATATTATGAAACATTAAAAAAAATATAGAAATTGTGATAAAAAAAATCGTGATATTAATTTTTTTTCTTGTGTCTAGGGATATCTGTTTAGAATTTAGATCAGTCTTTTTGAAAACAGTAATGTTTAAAATTTTAAAAAATCGTAGTTAAATTTGTTCTTATTTAGGTGTGAGGGGGAAAAATGTTTCTGCCGTCCTTGCAAGTTGCAAGCATCATGGTGTGGGCCGGAACAGCCTGGAACAACAAAGCCCATCCTCAGGTAGTACCGTAATTTAACAATTTGGGGTCTACAAATATGAATTATCGTTGTGCATGTTTGAACTTTGAACTACCATTTAAAAAACACATGTATCTTAATCATTCTGCATCCAATAATAAAGGGTTTAATTTTTATATACGGATAGTGTAAAAGATTAATTTTTCCCAGCTCAAAAGTTTGGTTTGGTCATTTATGTGAATCAAACCTGACATCATAAAAACCTTAAATATATAAATTTAATATTAATATCATAATATATATATATATATATAAATATTAATATTATATAATTAAATTATAGAATAAAAGTGATATAGTTGGTTAAATATAAAAGAGGTAGTTACTGAAATGTATTTTTTTTATATAATAGGTTTAGATATAAATGTTTCATTTTTCTCTTAAATTTTGGTCTGGCTCATCCCTTATCTCTTGTGTGGCTAGCCCGAATGGAGCTCAGCTTCTCTATTTTTTTTTTAATATAAATTTTTGCGTTAAATCCAAATGAGCCCAATCTATCCTTTTTCAAAAATATTTTGTTATTTTGAATTTTGGGCTCAACCCAACGACACAAGTCATTTTTTATTTATAATTATTATGAAATTGGGTATTGGGCCTAAATCCCTCTCTCGGGAAATGATATTAATATGAACATAAAGCTAATTATCTATACTAATATATAAAGGGGATACACTTTTTTGTAACAACTTTGGTCTCTACTTTTTTGGACTATTATACCTTTTTATTTTAAAAAATTAGAAAAAATATTTTTAATCAAATTTAAAATCTTGAAACTAATTAATTTATACTAATATATAAAGAGATTTTACTTTCAATAATTACTTTTAATTTTTATTTTTATATGATCATTTTATCCTCTATTTATTTTTTAATAACTACTTTTTATAAGTAACTTCTCATTTATTTATTTATTTTTTCAATACAATATAGGCACGGAGTGTCTTTTCCTGCTAGTATCAATAATAGATTTAGTTTCACATAATTAAATATTTTATTAATACCAATATACCTAAGATTCAATAAAATTAATTCCCTAAGTCCACAAAAAACTAGAACTAATCACTCTCATGCTTAATCTAGTTAATTACTTATTTCTTGTAAATAACTAGTTTGATTAAATTGGTATGATGATTAGTGGTTAAATAATTTATTTATCTAATTATTGTTGAAATGTTTATTACTCCCATGCCTGTCTTATTTATTAAAAATTAATCGTTAAAAATTTAATTTATAATAATCAAATTTAAATGTTCATTACAACAAAATTTATTATTACCGACAATTATTTAATGACAACACATTAATTACCTTTATTTTATTATTTAATAAAAATATTAATGACTAATATATAATGGCCACTAAATTTATATCACACCAAAATTTACTATTAGCGGCAATTATTTATTAAAAAAAATTTTAGTCCCACATCAAACAGAAATAAAATAATTAAAGAGTATATAAATGGATGATAATTCTCATCTTACAAGTTTGTTTTATAGGGTTGAGTTAGACCTATAACTTACTATTCTAAGTTGGTATGAGATTACTCACCATTATCAAACTCAATAGTCCCTAAACTCGAGGGGACTGACTATGGATAAAATAATTTAAAAAAAAAAAAGAAAATTTTAAAAAATATATAAGTAGAAGACAACTTTCATCTTACAAATCTCACATCAACTAAAAATAAGATAATTAAAAAGAATATATCAGTAGAAGAAGAGTATTTATACTCATCTTACAAGTCCCACATCGACTAGGAAGTAAAAAAATATCACAAAAAATTATATACTTTTTTTGGCCATTATAAGGTTTTTACTAGCATTTAGAATAATTGCCATTAAATATTTTAGCAACATTGCATACAATGGCTAATGTAGAAATACCGATAAAAGATTTTGTAGCAATTTTTATTACCACTAAAAATCATATTAAATACTATTAAAAGTATATTTTGTTGTAGTGATTGTGTTAACATGGTTAAAAAAAAATTAAATGCTGCATCTAATTATCCCTCACCAAGTACTTATTTTTAAAATCAAAACCATCCAACAAATGGGGAATGAGTTAAAAAGGAAAATAAAAATTAATAAAATAAAAAGATATTTTGAAAGAAGACAGCGAGTGTGAATAAGCCTCCATTTGCTTTCCAAACTTTTTAGATGTTGCTATTTCCTTCATTTTCTTCAAATAACTTGGTTTTGCCTCATGACAAAAAGAAACTCTAGATGATGCTTTCAAGTTTTTAAGTGAGAGGAAAAAAAAAACACTTCAAGTCTTTTCAACTTCAAATAAGATATTTGTTGATTCTTTCCCATTAAACATGACAATTAAATAGTTCTCACAGCCTCTTTCTTAGTCTTTAAGCCCTTTAAATAATCTAGGATGAGAAGTGTGTGAATCACTGACATCATTAGGCTTCAGTTTTAACTTTTTCTTCCTAAATTTTTAATTAACATCTAACTACGCTGATGAGCACACTTGAAATGATTTAATTAGTATATGGAACTTGGCCCGGAAATAGAAAAATTAATAATTTATGGGTGATTATTGCATCTATTTATGCACTAATCATTCAATTCATCTATACCTAAATCAAACTATTTTTTTCAATCATAAAAATAAAACTTAAAAATAGATTAAATGAATTAAAATAAGAATTGTGTTGCAAGATAGTTAGTAAAACTATTCATCGTAATTTTAAAATTAATGGGGTCAAACTATTAAATCAATTAAAAATGGTCTTAAGAATCGGGACAAATTCTTCTAAAAATATTCTCATGCAAGAAGAATTTTTTTTAGATAATTTCTTTCATTAACAAGTAAAGCGTTAAGTATTCATCCATAAATAATAATTAACATATGATTTTCATTTTAATTAGTTATAATTATTTTTTCAAAACAAAATATTGTCAAGTAATTTGAAGAGTCTTAAAGTCGAATGAATATCTTTAAAAAATGAAAATAAATAATGTTGACGCAAACTCTTGTCAGTGACTACTTAATTAAATTAAGACTTTCTTTTAATTAATGCAAACAAATTTGTAATTAATAACTTTTGTAGCATAACTTTGAGACGTCACTTCACCGACAACAAAATAATTATTAAATTAATTTTTTATGATTAGGCAGCTTTTAACCGAGGTTAATTTGCTTTCTCTCGTAATGTATTAACGTTTAACGATCATATACTCAAGATCAAAATAGACAAATTAAAATGAAATTGGGGTTTAAATTAATATTCCTGAGAATAATCGTTTATCGCTCAACGAACATCCATATTAATTATTGAACAATTTAATAGCGATGAAACCAGACGGCTTATATATTCATTATCCAAGTCAAAAACACACTCTAGTTGGCACATTTCGCAGAAAGTAAAAAAATTATCCAATGTGTATTTGAACACAATATTAATGTTTTGGCAACTTCTTTGCTACATGATATATGCTCGCATATACCAAGATATAGAGATTCCTTGTCTCGTGCAAGAAACCGAGATTCCCTTATAATTTTTTTAATGCAAACTATGATTTATACTGCAAGTAAATCACTATAGCAGATCTATATGGAATATGTGTTCCAATGACCAGTTACTGGCTTTTAGGAGGCAAAACTTGACTCTCCCACTGTAATCATATACATTAATGTACAAACAACCTCATGTTTAATGTTTCCGTTGTCCATTTCTGAGTTAATTGCGATTTCTTAAATTAATTAGGTACTTCTTAATATATCATGCACCGAATATACGTTGTTACCCACTTCTGAATTATTTAGGATACATAAATGTGTGCAAATCACTAAATTAAACAACTCATGTAACCAATCAACTCCATCTAGCTAGGAGATAGGGATCCAGTGGCAAAGTTTGACCTAAACTCCATTTCAATTTTGTATAAAAAGTATTAGAAATTAATTGAATTCCCAGAAATTATAGATCGAACTTGGTGTACTGTCCCATATAGACCCTAAACCATATAACTACATTTTTTTTGCTGCCGATATATAATAATAGTTACTTAATCATCAAATCATGTAGACATTGCTTTGATCATGCTTAAATTTATTTATGTGGTTACTGGGTTTAGTGTTAAGAATTAGGACTATAAAGTTAATTAATTATCCACTTGTAGACAAGATAGGGTTAGATATATAAGAGCGAAAGTTGGGACTCCTTTTGTGAAAACAAATAAATAATAAAGAAGATAAAATTTCATGTTCATCTTACATGCTTCGGATATATGTCAAGGACACGAAGAAATACTTAGAGTTAATTAGATATAGGTAATTTCATAGTTAGAAGTTGTTAAAAAATATAATTTGGGCTTAGGTTCGGTACAAATTACAACTCTTTCAAGTTCAAATGTTCTAAAATTTCAAAAGAGTTACGAACATTGAGGTCAACATGTAGGATATATCATACATGTGCATAACATTTTTCTTAAGAAGCTAGAAGATTATATTAACATAAAAGTGGGAATAAGGCATGTCAGTAGATGCAAGATTGAGCTAATAATGATCAGGTATCGCATTAGTTAAAACTTCAATGTAGGCAACCAAGTAGAGACAATGTACCAAATTCGATTTATCACTAGGCTAAATAGGAATAATTGATAAACTATGTAAAATGATATGGTAAGATAAAGCAAGTACTTTGAGAGTATAAGAGATAACTAAAGAACAACCCTAACATCACTTGAACTTGAAGGAAATTATAAGTTGATTCGATTTATTACAACAAAATTTATTATTATCAATAATTATCTAATGATAATAAATTAATTATCTCTATTTTATTATCTAATAAAAATATTAATGATTAATATTTTTTTAAAAGAAATTAATGATTAATATATAATGACTACTAAAAATGTATTTATATTACATAAAAAATTTATTAGCAAGAATTATTTATTAAGAAAAATATAAGTCTCACATCGACTAGAGATAAGATAATTAAAGAACATATAAGTAGATGATAACTCTCACCTTAAAATTTGTTTTGTAGGGTTGAGTTATATCTATAACTTACTATTCTAAGTTGATATCAGATTATTTACCATTATCAAACTTAATGGTGCTAAACTTGGAGATGTATTAGGAAAA